TGCACTTTAAAAGACAGCCACGAAATTGAGAAAGCTTTTCAAACTAGGCCGATAATTTGCAAGCTTGCTGATTTTGGAGAAAGCCGATCCGTGATTAATCAAACAAATAATGTGTGTCGCATGGTTACGAACAACCTTGCCCGTGGAACGCCCGCTTATCGTGCACCAGAAATATTTTGCCAGAACGGATCAGCTCTGTCCTTAGTAGACCTAAAGGCTGTGGATATCTGGGCCCTAGGGATGGTATTGTTCGTCATTATCAATCCGGACTTGAAGTACCCTTTTCAGATGGAGTTAGAAAGGGTTCAAACCGGAAATTGTCTATCTGTGTTAGAAGGGCTCATTTCTAAAAATGAGAAGCCGGCTCACTCGGATCACTATTGCATGCAACATGCAGTAAATTGCCTCCGACTTCGCAAATTATCTGAATATTGTACGCGTTTCCATCCGAAAGACAGGCCAGATGCAAAATACATTGTAGATGTCTTGAAAAATGAAGACCTGTCAAACAGCAGAAACTTACCCCTCACAGTCAACCAAGGAACCTGCATTGAGAATGCAACTAGCTCGTACGTTCCTGGTGATGGGACCAATGGCTGTGCATTTCTGTCCGTGGTTTTTGGCGATCACTTGCTGTGCCAAAATGAGAGGTCAACTGTCACCACATTTGAAGAAATTGCCTGCCTTGCTGAGGAAGTCATCATCGATTCCCCTCTTCAATTCAATCCCTTTCGAGATAAAAGTCGGCATTACGACGCATCGGAGGCTTATGGAATTCTGAAGAAATGTAAAGTGATAAAAGAGGAGTACGAATTCAGTGAGGAAATCCTTTCAAGCCATGGAGTTTACTCAGTGTGTGCCAGAGATGAGCTAAGAGCAGTTGTGTACCAACTTACAGCAAAAAGAGAGATGAGGCTTGCCTTCTATTCCTGCGGTGGGTACATCTTTACAATAGGATGGGCATTTGGATACCTATTTATTATGGACACACATGCCATATTCCATGAGCTCGGCGGTAACGGTAATGGTTTGGTAAAAGTTTTCCTTCAAGACGATAGGCAGTTAGCTGCTGAAGATCTGTGTGCGTGGGTATGGAAACGACTCAGTCAGAGTGGAGTTAAGAGCTGTGCTCAGCAGTCTGTTGCTGAGATGACGAAGTCCAGGTAATAGCGCTGAAAAACTAAAAGCTAACATCTACTTAACTGACCACACAAGTTGATTTGAAAAATAAAGCGTCCAAATCTCCCACAAGTTCAGAATGCTTTCTGATATGGGTTAAGAAATGAATGTAAAGAGTGAGTAGACACACAGCTAAAGGTTTGTTTCTTTTTAGTCCCTTTTGTAGTCACAAGACAACTCTAAGTGAGGATATCAAAGTACCTTCAAGTAAGTAACATTTCATATCCTCCAACTATCAAAATGAGGGAAAACTTTAATACATATGCTAATTCACTTGCTTGTGGCAGAAGATTAGAAATGGGTCTATGTAACAATCGGCTTCTTCAATTCTTCTTGTCACAAAGCGTTCGATTTTCCACACAGGTGTTGATGATGACTTGAAAGAAGAGGCATGTTGTGTACAAGTTAGTATGTACCCTTTTTATAATGTGGTGCCTAGGTATAAAAAAAACCAAATAATTCTGGCTACACTTTCAACTAATTTTACCAGATATCGTGGAATGGTGCCCGTTAACCACCAGAATCCCTCTTCTCGTATGTAGGGTGAACTCAGCGACTCTATCTTAATAACCTATAAATATACTACTATAGATGCTTATAGTAATTTGTTTCTGCTTAACTCTGTAGGGGAATGATTCCTCCCAATCACCCTCTAAATCTCCTGTGAAGAAAAAAGTGAAGAGGTATACTGTTTCCCCAATTACCATATGCTTTTACGTCTTTTATGCCAGTATGCTTTTTGACTTATTTTCTATGTGGCTTCCCAGGTATCAAACCGCCATCAAGGTGGAACAAGAATTTGGTAAAAGAAAGTTAAACCTTGACCTGTCCAGGTAAAGAGTCTTGTTAAAAAAAGAAATCACACATGTCATCTTAAATGCATCCATTTGAAAACATTCCTCATCCTCATTGCTCATTGCTGTTTGTTACAGCCAATCCAGCAAAGTCCCAGATGTTATTTCCATAGACAGTTCTGAAGATGAGAATCAACATGATGCTAGTGTTTTAAGTGATAATGATGCAAACAGGTAATTAAGAACCACCTCTGCTTGTCTCTTCTAGTCTAATATTGTGTGTAGTCTCTTGTATGGTCATAAGTTGGCACATGTACTTTCTGCAAAGTTCAAATGACTTTAGAGTGGGGTGGGTGGAAATATTTGAGTTTATTAGGTTGAGTCACTTGTACAACGTACAAAGAACAAAATTACTCTAGTCGGGAAATCCATAGATTGCTTTATATTCTTCTTTAAATAATTTCTTACCTTTTACTAACGACCCTGTTAATAATATGAACATCAATATTGTTTCTGTCAAATAACGCTAATTGATGATGAACGCTCCAGTGACATTTTTTTTTAAATATAGCACCAGCATTAAAGCTTCAGAGGAGGTTACCGTTGACAATTCTAAAGATGATGGTGTCGTAGAATATCAAAGTTGTGCGAGCATTTCTAGCGATATTGATGGAGACAGGTAATTTTCATAATTAATTAATAATTAATTAATAGGGAGCCTTCGGAAAAAATCGTCCCATGCATATTATATATCAATGAAAGGTTTATAAAGTACAGTTTATAAATTCCAAATAACAAAGTTCTCACAGTCTTTGTGTTGGTAGGTGCGGGCAAACCTTTAAACACAAAACTGACGGTGTTTGTTTAACTGAATTAACGGCCTCCACGTTAGCGCGGACATCCAAACAAACTGGAAAGATTTAATCAGCAGATACTAGGCCAACAAAGCGTTTGAGAATTTTCGACATTCCAATGAGTTCTTGTGAAAACAACTATTTTGAGGTTGAACAATATTACACCTTTCAATATATAAAGTTATTCGTTCGTTAAGATCGTGGTGTGTTCTGCAATAAGTTAAATGAAAAGAACTCCGATTGACAGGGCGTTAGAATTGTAGACCTGGTTTTTGGTAATTGGTTAGGATATAGAAAGGGGCCTTAAAGTGTTCTTTTCTGTAAGTGTGTTGTTTCGAAGATGATCCCCACTGTATTGGATTGGTTGGCTAGGGGATCTTTCACCCACGCCAAACGCCCCTGTGTGCTTCTTTTTCAACCGAAAAATGCTAATATTTTTTATAACATTAAGTGACTAGAAGTAAACAAACATGATTCGCTGCAACTCTGAGTTTCGTGCGTTAAGCACTCATCAGGCAGATTTAATGAAGAAGTAATCCTATCCGCTAGTATATATCATATCTGCAATAATTGGTAAAAACAATAATAGGTAATTATGGCGTGATATAATT